TCAAAAGTACAACATGACAAATTTTGTGGAACAGAGTAGTAGGATACAGTGAGCCCCGGAAAAAGCTGACACCACCAAATATGCCGACCACATCCAAAACATCACCTATTACATAGAATTCAACCACCTCAATACTTCAATACCAAGTCAGAAATTCATTCAATTTGACCAACTGCAGTGTAGATAGGAACTGTCATTGACTGGCAGAAATTCTCCTGATTTAGCTAATCAAGTTGGACCGAATCAAGCAATTTAAAAAATTGATTTCATTCTGCCTCCATGCATGATAATACCCTCGTCGGTTTTTCGGGGTTCACTGTACCTCCGCGACATTTGGCGTGGAGATTACGGTAAGCTAGCGAAGGGTTAGCTGACCTTGTCAAAGCGTGTGAGGGGTGAAGGATTAGCATGGGATCCCTATCAGGATAGTGAGACACTATATATACAGAAACAATGTGACGCCCATACATTCATCTATACGTTTCTAATCTAGAAGAAATGGCAAATGCCAGTTCGACATCAAAGTGGAAAATGCCATCTCGAACCGTTTCATCCACGTTTGCTTTGAAAAAATGAGGTATGCCCTATATCGCACAAATCGCGCTGAGTATGCATTTGAACCTTTGCTTTTTTAACTGTAACGGCGTTGAGGGGGGTGCGGAAGGACGGAACTAGGCAATTCAATGTTTGAAACTGACAGTGCCTCAAATCAACCAATTAGTGACTTCTAATTTCATAGTCGATATTTGTCCAATCATGGACTGGCATTGAGTCTGAACTAATCAGAGATCACGAAAGTCGCGAAGGATATTTAGCCAATCATGGACTAAGAAGCAATTTTCCTTCTGGTCTTGTGTGTGAAATTTACTAATCCCACTGCAAATTTAATGATGGTCCAATGCTTGCGAGTTTTTTCCCGGTTCACTGTACTTACTTTCTCTGCTCCACATTACTAATAATTATGACTTGTCAAGGTCCCCCAAAATTCAGTTGACTTCCGTTTTCGTTGGAGGAAATCATTTTTTAAAGCTAATTAAAAACTGAAGGTGTTATCTATTGGCCACCATGCGCCTAAACAGCAACTTCGCGAGCAAAATCGACATCAATTCTAGACCATCCGAATAAAAATACACCACATACTCAAATCTACATTATTTTTGAATTTGCCACCATGGAAAATCACCTTGAATATACCCATCGTGAGCTTACACGTCACATTAAGGCAACGATCGTCCAAGCCCTTTAACCCTTCCTCAACAAGGGCAAGCTCCAGCGTGGAGCATTCAAACTCGTTGGCGAGCAACTCAACCTCAAAACCCGCACCGTCTCTGCTGTATGGCGCGCGTATATTATCAGTGGGAGCACGTTGTCAAACAAATTCGGGAAAGTTGGGCTAAAGGCAAAGTTCACTGACCAATACGTAAGACAACTTGTTCAAGACGTACCTGTCGATCAACGCTCAACCCTCCGTGACATCGTCGCTGCCACTGGCCTATCCATGGGTACCCTCAGTAGACACCTTAAGAAAAAGACGTTCGTCCGACGCTCGTCCCGTATCAAATCGTTGCTCTCCGACTTAGCTCTCGACGATGACTCCACTGTTTCGGACTCTGATGACTCTGCGGCAGGAGACGCTCGGGCTCCTGCGTCTGCCGCCTCTGGACCGCGCAAGAGACAACTCACCCAATTCTTTGCCTCTGACCCCCGCTTTTGCACCACTCCTCCCCGCAAGCAGCACCGCCGCAGAGTGTCCAAGCCCCACACGGCCTCTGCGTCCACCTTCTCGCAACTCCGCTTCCGAAGCGGAACTTGCAGCAGACCCCACCCTGCTACATATCGAGGGCCTCATCGACAAGCAAGCCAACCCCGACCAGCGCGATGAGATGTGGTACCTCGTTCAGTGGCTTCATCCGTCCACCACCTTCGCCAACAAGGAGTGGGATTTTGAAGGCGACCTTGAAAACTCCTCTTTGGACAGCGCCAAAGCCCTCCTGGAGAGTACCTGGCTCTCCCGCCTCCCAACGCACTGTCGACTTCATGAAGTGGCGCCGCAACTCTGGCGACTGGCTCATGATCGGCGCTAATGAAGACAACACTTGCCAGGTGGCCGCTCTGCACCAGGCCTGTGATCTCCTGGATCTGGCTTTCAGCTTCACGGACGAATATATCCAGGAGTACAAGGACGCCGAAGGTATCGACCCAACTTCGGCCATCTCCCAATCCAAGTTTCGTCCCTTCATGCGCCACCTTGTCATGGAACATGTCTTACCCTTCCGTCTTGAAGCGGCCACCAACAACATCGCAACTCGCAAGGCAAGTGGTGTGGCCTGCGACGCGATTTCCGCCACTGACGAAGAGGGTCTCTACCTCTTGATCACGACGGAGAGTGATGTGAGTGATGCTTGCATCCTCCAACGTCTACCGGGCTTCATGTTTCACCTCTACGACGGCAAGGACAAAGTCGACATCCTCGACACGCTCCACCGGTCCGAACACCAGCGCCCCATCCAACTCCAACGCCTCTGCCGCCTCACCCCCATCGGCATCCGCCGTGGAAAATTCGCGAAAGCGAAAAAAGGCCTACCCCCCCCACCCCTTCCCCTACATATGTCCATAGCAAACTGAAAGGTCACTTAGTTAAGTGTAATGAATATCTTTCTTCGGACGTCAACAAGGCAGTACGCGTCCACCGTTAATTTCGACAACTATGGGACGTCGTGCACTTGGATGAGAAATGGTTTAACGCTGACAAAGATCGACGCAAGGTGTACCTCGTTCCCGGAGTAGCACCACCTAAGCGCGCGTGGAAGAGCAAGCACTTCGTGCCAAAGATCATGTTCTTGGCTGCCGTTGCGCGTCCGCGGTATGATGAGGTGCGCGGAGAAGTCTTCAGCGGCAAGATTGGGATGTGGCCGTTTGTACGCTCTCAGCCCGCCACACGGAACTCAAGAAACCGACCTGCTGGGACAATGGTGACGTCGTTGGTCAATGTGGATGGTCCTGTGTATCGTGATTTCGTGCTGAACAAGGTCGTACCAGCAATCAAGGCAACCTTCCCCAGTGCGAACAGCGCGTTGTTCTGCAGCACGACAACGCAACGCTGCATGGATTCGTCACTGATGCCGAACTGCAGGCAGTCTCGACCGATGGTTGGACGTTCAAGATCCGCCGGCAGCCACCAAACAGTCCTGATATGAACGCGCTTGATCTTGGATTTTGTGCCTCGATTCAGTCCCTTCAGTAGAAGCAGATGAGTCGTTGCGTGGATGATGTGAACCGGCACACCATGAAGCATTCGAGGAACTGAAGTACGACAAGCTGGAGAGTGTGTTTCTTACCTTTCAAGCTGTGATCGTTTGTTCCTCAAGCACTCCGGGGGTAACGGTTATGCGTTGCCGCACATGAAGAAGGCGGCCTTGAGACGTGCTGGTCTCCTGATGTCCAATGTGTCGTGCCCAGTGTCGTTGCTTTTTTAGACCATGGTAATTTTGACCAATCGAACCATTGAATTACTTAATTGGCCAATAGCATCCATATTGTCACAGTAATGTGGAAAAAATACGATTTTCTTTTTGTCGCAGTAATGTGGAGCAGCGAATATATCGAAGTACTCCCTTGTCCCACATAGATTGCGCGACTCAGAAAAACGTAGTACTCCTCCTCGAATAGAAATGCATTCACTTCAAGACATTATACTCAGTATAAATCTCAAAAGATGAAACGATTCAGCTGTCCAATATAATACCTCAAAATGCTTGTCTCCGAACCAATCAAATGTCGGAATGGGCCAATTCTGACGGTGCCATTTGATTCAGGAGGGGGTTTACCTCCGTAACTTTACTACCGCACATGTTTTGTATGCAATTTTTCATCACTATCCATGTCTATGCAAATTGGTTCTATTCCTACTTCGGCCATTGCAGAGATGATATCATCCGTCGCCTCACTGTCGCATAGGGCATGCCCTCGAGCTCTCTCGGCCAAGCTCATCGAGGCACCTCGCCTCTTTACCTCCACCGACACCGCTCGACATTGTCGTGTGGAGCGGGTACATACCAGTGTTGTCAGAGATTGAACGAAGCGTTGTTCGTTGCGCAAGAGGCACCTATTGTAGACATGTGCCACTGGTACTTTGCTGCCAGCAACTGACTTGTGCTTATAGGCAGCCGGGTGGGAAAGCCGCTGTTGCTTTAGAGCAGGACTTCCCGAAGGAGGGCTTCGCGCACCTCGTTCGTCAGGTCTGGCCGTGTTGTTGACGCTTTGAATGTGTGTCGTTTCTGAAGTATGTTTTATATGGAAGTTTGTATGCTGCCTTTGACAAGGCAAAAATGACCGGTTTTTAAGATTCGTGCTCATACTTACTCCATGTGTGGAGTAGACACATAGAAGCACTTGGTGCGATCTGTGCAATGATCCAATCAGAGGTGTCGATCCCCGAATTGAGGAGGCAAATACACAGCTTAAATTTACCTTCAAAATTTAATTGTCAGTCATGTACACCCTCCTCAAACTCTCGCAATTACTGTGGGACATAGGGAGTATTTACGAAAAACTGGTACAATTCTCGAAAACGACTGGAAGTCTGATCAAATATTGAGATACAAAGAAAAAGGTTCATATTTCAATATTAGATCAGTATCGCACAAATAGATTGAGATATCGTAAATATGCGTCGATATGATCAAGACCTGCACACGAAAGCAATGAGAAGTTTATAGGGCGACATCGAGATCGCGGGAAAAGATTATTTTCAATTGGTTACCGCCAAAACCCTTGATGGCACAGCCATCCAGGGCTGGCACAACACTTATCACCACACGGCATCATCATGGATGATTTTAAACGTTGCTTCGATGCTTGAGCGCCTTCATGTGCAGACGGTCTCGGGCCAGCCGTACCTCGAGGAGTGCTTTCATGACAACGACGAGCTTGCGGATGAGACAAACGACTTAGCCTCCTACGACAATCCGGTCATCGACAAAGTCATGGAGGAAGGTGGCAACGCGGCGTTTAAAGCTTTTCCAACTTCACTTCGGAGGAGTTTGACACGATCTGGACTGTGTCAAACTCGCCATGGTCGTGTGTTGGTACCATGGACGAGGTCACAATTCTGTCACGACCCCGCGAGATGCTCTCTTCATGACTTTGGTCGTCTTGAAGTACAGTACTACCAAACCTGGGAAAAGCACCGGGTCGACTTCGGATTCAAGGTACCACCCACCTCGAAAAAATGGTCATACGCGTCAACAACTTCGTCGAACCGATACTCTATGAGCAATTTGTCACCTTCCCTGCGATGGAACACACCATGTCACGCTGTCGTGAGATGAAACTCATCTTTCGTCACTTTCCATACACCTTGTACGCCAAGGACGTAAATTCGCCCTCGCACCTACCGCCTGGCGCTTTGTGGAACAAAAGTACTTTTTCAGCGGAAAGCATAAGCTCTATAGACTCAAGATTGAAGCGTCAGTGTCTCCCCAAGGTGAGCTGGTCGGTATGAGCTCCCACGAACCTGGGTCTATGTCGTACTTGACCCGGTTCCGGTCTCGCATCGACGTCGACCTCGAAGCTCTTCGGAACGGTCTAGACGAGTCGGCAATCAATGACAACGGCGAGCTGTATCAAGCGCACCCTGACCACTGGGCCGTGCTGGTTGACAAGAGGTACTGCGGACGTGCGCGCTGTGCATCCTAAGAAAACGCCAGTGAATGGGACGCTCGATCGCGCTGACCTTGACCGCAACGACGCTGTGTCACCCGACCGCGCCATACTCGAGATCTTTATTGGTCGCGTGTGTCTCCTATGGAAGATTTCCTACTCGACGTACGAATGGTCAACGAAGTTCTATGATTCTACATAGAACTTCGTTGACCATTCGTACGTCGAGATGATCAAGATGTGTACGATGTGTACCGCTCGGTTCTCGCCCGGTATGCGTTCATGGCCAAGGAGAACAGAAGAGAACAAAGCGATCAATCAGCGTCGCTACGTTTAGCGCCGAGCTGAGGGCATGGCATCCCAGTCGTTGCGCTCTGCCGTCTCTGCTCGCAGTGGTTCGTTCTTGGGTCCCCTCTGCGCCAGTCGTTGAAATGAATAATCAAAGACCTTGAAGTTGAACGTGAATAGAAAATTTGAACAATTTAAGCCTATCTATATTTTATTGTACCCTAATGTATAGTATTCCACAATAACTCTCCCTGATGTTACGAAATGAGTACATTGAACTAATATTTACTTTATTTAGTACTACTCTGTTCCAGGAAAAGAGGTCGGTTTGTTTATCTTGATTAAAGTATAGTTGACGGCTAGAAAATATCTTAAAGTTTGTATTGACCTTTGAGATTATAATTTGCGCCACAAAAATATAATGACATTTTATTACATTCAAATGAGTACTCCTACTTGGGAATTCAAGCGTCGTTGAGGAATGCAAGTGCGTTCTCGTGCACGGTTGCATCGCATTTGACGTTGAATAATGTCAAGTCCTCAATCGTAGCATCCTTTCGCATGTGAGGGAACTTGT